CATCGTTGAGCAACCATCAAAACCAAAACCAACGCATTTATTTATATTCAGATCTTCTTTTGTCAAAAACTCATCTATGCTATGTGCAATCGATTTCACATCCAAATCTTTTAGCTCAATGAATCCGACAAACATTTCTTGGACTTGCTGTGTTTCTTCATCAAAATATCGCATCCCAATCGATAGTTAAAGTTGATTTTAAAAACGGATGTCAAAATCTTAATGTTATTCTGAATATTTCAATACTTTCTACAATATACATTAAACCTTGTGAATTTAATTACGTTTGTCATGCGATGCGGAATTTATTAATAGGTAAGGATTTCTACTTTTAACTTCGTTAACTGAGAAAGAAAGCGTATACCGCGAATAAATGCAGATGTCAAACTATTATGTTAACGTTAAGAAACTAATAAAAATTATAAAGACTTAAGTCTGTCGATAACAATCGATAAATGCTCAAACAAACCGAGGTAAAACTGCATTGTACGGTGATGAAACTAAAATGGGGTGGGGGTACCCAGCAGTTGTGGTTGTGCTTGTGCCCGCTAGAGGTTTACTAAATAGGTTTTTACTAAAAACAAGATTTGTGTATAATGTAATTACAATAAATACATACAGCAAAAATGGAATAAACAAATAAAAACAAATATAATTTGTTTAATCCACGCTAAAAGTGTTATGTTATTGTTTTACATACACAAACAATATATATTTTATGATTGAAGTTGTTTATTACGTTTCTCTTACATTTTACATGAGGCTGTTATAACGGTTTTCTGTCGAATAACGCCTGCCAGAAACCCTCTAACCTTTACAAATATCTTCTGGCAATCTATGCAGCTTACATCACAACATGTCCCTTCTTTAACTAAATAACAACTGAATAAGTATATTAATACATATACATATATATAAATTTTTTTTTAAACCTAAAAATAACTTATAAGTAATCTAACTTATTATTTCTATAGCGATACACTTATCTAATTTATCGTACATAATCATTTAAATATCTCGGTGTTCTTTTTTGTCTTTGTGGTCTTATACTTCTCTTAATTTTTAACTTTTTAGAAACATCTAGATTTTCTAACTCGTTTCAATATCTTCTTGTCTATCCTCTCTCACGTCTAACTCTTCTTCTCTTTTCTCAACTTCTTCCTTAGTCATATCCTGTAATCTCTCATTAAACATTCTTTCATGCAGTTCATGTGATACATATTCATCATCCGTGTTATATGGTTTTAAAAATTTTCGATTTCTATATTAAACTTGTCCATTTTTAACCAACTCAACTTTATAAGTTTCAGGTCGTTTATCATCTATCTCAACTACTTTTCCAATTTTACCTGGTTCTCCCTGACCAAAAAGTACTATTACTTTGTCATTAATTTGAATCGGTGTTAATTTTTTAGTCGTTTTATCATAATAGTGTTTTTGTTTTTCTTGTCTAATTTTGAGTTATTCCTTAAAATCCTTTGTTTTATAATGTGATTCTAATAATTTCGAGTACACTGGAAGAATTCCTCTTAATCTTCTTCCAAATAGTAACTGAGCAGATGAAGGTGTATTATTTTCCTGGGAATTCCTATATTCTAAAATCGCAATATTTTCATCCCGATTGTCTTCTTTTACTTTTTTCAAAATCTTTTTTATGGTTTGTATATTTCTCTCAATAAAACCATTCGATTGTGCATATGTTGGTGAGCTTGTTTTATGTAAAATATCCCAATCTTTCACAAATTTATAAAATTCACTACTTGAAAATTGTGGTCCATTATCAGAATATAAAATTTCTGATATACCATGCGTAGCAAAGATTTCTTTTAAATGGTTTGTTATTGTAGCTGATGTAGTATTATATTTGAGTTCAATCAATTCTGGAAATTTACTAAATACATCCACTACAAGTAAATACATGGTATCCTTTAATTGAAACAAATCAGTAGCAACTATTTGAAAAGGTCTTTCTGGAATTTCTTTTGCACTCATTGGTTCTGATGAATTTAAATTTTGATACTTTAAACAACTTACACAATTTGCTATTTTATTTTGTATTTGAACCGTCATGAATGGCCAATAAACTACTTCTTTAGCTTTATTTATCGTTTTTTGTATTCCCATGTGATTATAATGCAATCTATTTATAATTTCAGATCTCATTTGATTTGGAATAATTATACTAGTTCCACAGTACATTAACCCATTTATTTCATTAATTTCGTTTCTACGGTTCCAATAAGGTTTTAATATATCTGTAACACCTTTTTTATTATTTGGCCAACCTTTTTTAACAGTTTCACTTAATGTTTGTAATTCCAAATCGTGTTTTGTATACTCTTTAAACTTCTGTATTTTTTCTGGTCTTACTGAGATATAATTTATCATAGCAGTTTGTAAATTAACTTCCTCCTCATCAAATTTAAAATCTTTTTCATTGCTACAAGTTCTAGACAATTCATCTGCAAAATATAGTTGTGTTCCTGGTTTATATTTTATTACTAAATCATATTGTTGCAAACTTAACAAAATTCTTTGCAATCTTAAAGGGCAATTGTTTAAAGGTTTCTTACATATAATTTCTAGAGGCTTATGGTGTGTTTCTACCAAAATTTGTTTACCATAAATGAATTGATGGAATCTTCTACAGCCGTAAAGTATCTATTTGAGCATATCTTTCTTGTGTTTTTGTTAACGATCTAGACGCATATGCTATTGGTGCATCATTTTGCATAATAACTGCACCTAACCCTTTTTGTGAACTGTCTACAGACAATACTAATACATCTTTTTCATTATAATACTGTAACACAGGTGCCTTCGTTAATAATGTTTTCAAATTATGAAATTCTTGTGCCTGCGCATTACTCCAGATCCAATCATTTTGCTTTTTCAAAAGTAGTCTTAAATTATGTGTTAACTTTGATAAATTTGGTATAAATTTCGCAACATAAGTGACCATTCCAAGGAATCTTGACAGTTCCTTAACATTTTTTGGTACTTCAATCTTTCGAATTGCACTATCTTTTTAGGGTCTGGTTTAATTCCCGATTCAGTCAAAACGTATCCAATGTATGTTATTTCTTTCTCACAAAATGTACACTTTTCTCTGTTAAATTTTATTCCTAACTCATCAGCTCTTTTAAATACTTTGTTTAATATTTTATAATGTTGTTCTAAATCTTTTGAATATATAATTATATCATCAATGCAAACGCTAACACCCTCTAGGTCACTAAAAACGCAAAGATCAGCAAGGTAAACGCAAAAATCTAAACTTTCCGAAAGGAGTGGCGAAAGTAGTCAATTTCGATGCTTTTTCTCCAATTGGAATCTGCCAAAAACCCTTATTGGCATCTAGAGTTGTAAAAAATTTAGAACCCAACATTTGGAATGTTAAATCTTCAAAACTTGGTAATGTATAATAATCTTTAACTATTATCTCCTTCAAATATTTTGGATCTAAACACAATCTAATTTTATCACCTTGTTTTTTAACTATTACTATCGGATGTACAAATTCGGTGTCATTACACTCTTTAATTATAATACCATCATTTTCCATTCTTTTTAATTCATTTTTCAACGGTTCAACTAATTGACCAAGACGTGTACCATGTCTTGGTGGTATTATTCTAGGTTCATATTTATTTTTTATTTTAAAGTCATATGGTATCATGTTTATTTTTCCTACCCCCTTAAACAAATTATCATTTTGAGCAATCAGCTCAATAATACTTTTAATAGTTATTATAGAGTTATTATTATTTCCCAATTTAATTTCGGCACAATTACTCGTCAACAAATTAAGATCGTTTATAGTTTTTAATCCTATAATAGTACTTTGATTATGTTTAGTTTCTATTACTATAAAGTCAATGTTGACCTGTTTACCCTTAATTAACAGAGGAATTAAACATTTATCTAAAACTACTAACTCTTTTCCTCCATAACGAAACAATTTGCCTTCAAATTTCTCTAAATTATTATTAAAGTTAGTAAGTTATATTTTTGAAAATATAGTAAGGCATTGCATTTATTTCTGCTCCTATATCTAATTTACACAAAAGAGTTTGGTCTGATTTTGCTATTTTAAGAATCGTATCTAATTTAGAAACATTATTTTTT